TTTTTTTTTTTTTTTTTTTTTTTTTTTTTTTTACAAAGACTGGCTTCAGCAGTAAAGAGAATGGTCCCGGATTCAGAAACTAGTCAGATAATAATTGAATCTTTGGCTTTTGAGAACTCGAATGCAGCATGCAAGAGAATAATCAGGCCGTTAAAGGCAAGATCTGCACCCTTGGAAGATTGCATTAGAGACACGGTTAATGTTGAGTCTCATGACCAAGATGATATGTGGGTAGGAGAAGCAATTTCAAAGGTTTGAGGAATGTTAGATGTTTTGGATGAGGAAAGCAAGGACATTTAAAAAGGGACTGTAAACAAGTCATTCCTAGAAACAATGTTTCTTCAAAAAACAATGGCAACAGAATGCCCCTTCCTTCTGGAGTATGCAGAAGGTGTGGTAAGGGAAAACACTGGACCAATGAATGTAGATCAACAAGGGACAGGCAAAGTAATCCTTTGCCTTGGGCTTCGGGAAACTCCCAGAGGGGCCTCAGGCAGGCCCCCACAGCAAATTTAGTTCAAACCTTTCCTGCAGTCAAAGAGGAAACCCCTACTTAGAGCTAATAGCAAGCCATAGCAGAGCCGGGGGTTGGTGGCACACACCTTTAATCCCAGGTCTTGGGAGGCAGAGCTAGGCGGATCTCTGTGTGTTCAAGGATACAGCCAGCATGGAGACACACGCCTTTAATCTCAATACCAACCATAGAGACCTGGAGGTCTGTACAGATGGGCAGTGACGAGGAGGTCATGTGGTTGGGTTTACAACCAATGAGAAGGCAGAACAGAAAGTCTATATAAAGACAAACACACAGGAAGTAGGTCTCTTTGCTGAAGAGGCTAGCTGCAGCAGTGACGGGTAAGGCTCTTAGCTCTGACCTCTTGGACTTTCATCCCTGCATTGACTCTGTGTTTCTTATTTAATAGGATGGTTGGTTACATCTACAGCCACTAGACTAGACACAGAGGTCAGGCAGTGGTGGTACACACCTTTTATCCCAGCACTTGAGATCTCATGCCTTTGCTTGGAAAGCACACACATCTTTAATCCCAGGAAGTAGTATGGCAGGGCAGAGGAAGGTATATAAGGCATGAGGAAACAGGAACTCACTCTCTTTAGACTGAGGATTTCGTAGAGGTAAGATCCAGTGGCTGGCTGTTCTGCTTCTCTGATCTTTTAGCTTTCACCCTGATATCTAGCTTTCAGTTTTTTATTATAAGACCATCTAAGATTCAAACAACAGCCAGGTGTCGTGGTACATGCCTATAATCTCAGCACTGGGGAAGTAGAAATAGGCGGGGCTCCCTGGCTGGCCAGCCTAGCCTAACTGGCAAGCTCTAGGCCAGTGCTTCTCAACCTGTCGGCTGCAACCCTGGAGGATATTTCCATTACTATTCATAAGAGTAGCAACATTACAGTTATGAAACAGCAACGAAATAATGTTATGGTTGGGGGTCACCACAACATGAGGAACTGTATTAAAGGTCACAGCATCAGGGAGGTTGAGAGCCACTACTCTAGGCCAATGAGAGACCTTGTCTCAAAAAAACAACTGAGGAACAATACCCAAGGTTGACCTCTGACCTACACACATGTACACATATATGCATGCATACCTACACATATACCGGTACATGCCTGCACGCGCGCACGCACGCGCGCGCACGCACGCGCGCGCGCGCACACACACACACACACACACACACATCTCCAGAGACTAGCCACAGAATATGCATTTCTGCATGCACAAAGTGGGAAGTTAAAAGCTGTAGTAGTGAAAACACCAGCTTAAACCTCAGCTCTCGGCAAGTTCCCTAACAGCTGGGTCTTAGTCCCTCCCTCTATAGAGTGGCCATCTGAACGATCCCTGTATGTACTTCCAGGACAGCCGTGAAGACGCTGTAAACGAATGGTAATAACAAATGCTAACAAGTAAGAAATACGGGATATTGCTGCTGAAATACGGCCCCTGATCCCCAAGATACAAGTTCTAGTTTTCTCAGGAGACGTCTTGGGCCGGGAAACTTCAGTTTAGAAAGTCTCTTAGGAACTTCCTATCTGCAAAGCAGCGTGGATGCCACAGCGGCAGAGGGGGTACTGTGTCAAAAATACACACCTCTCTGAGGCTGGGCTTCTCTACTGGAGCAGTAAAGAAGTCAGAGAATCCAGTGGTCGGAGATAGAGCACGGCAGAGCAATCTAATTAGGTGACGGAATGGGGGACTGGGTAACAGACTGTAAATCTCTCTGTGAGGACCAGGATGTTTCTCACATAGCGAGGCCCTCACTGAGCCTCAGCACAGGAGTCAGGGTCACGCGGCTTCCTTCACTTACCTCTCAGCTGCTGGAGCTCCAGGGTCAGACTCTGGATGGTGCTCTCGTAGAACTTGAGATTCCCCAGAGTCTCCGCCCTCAGCAAGTCACCGTGCCTTTCCCCTAACATCAAGCTCAGCTCTTCCTGAGCCCTGGTGTACATGTCCAAGTCGTGTTCCACATCCTGAATCCTCGCCAGCACAGAGGGGCACGGAGAAGTCTGGGCTGGGCTCTGCTCCATGTGCTCGGGGCACTCCTTCTCTGGGGCCTCCCAACTGGGGTGGGCACCGGGGGTGGGCTTGGGGGAAGCTGTGTTCACCCTCGGCTGTGTGGAAGGAGGCAGGGGAGCAGGGCGGGAGGGCCGCACAGCCAAAGGGGGTGTAGGTTTTGGGCTCTGGTCAAGCAGCAAGTGGGGAGAAACGAGTGTTGGGGTACAGGGTCTGGGCGGCGGCGGCCTCAGGGCCTTTCTCCTCTCGGGGAGATCCTGTGAGGACAGTAACTTTGAGGAGCCTCTGACAATATCCTTCTCAGAGTTAAAGTCCATGATTGAAAAGCGGCGTGCAATTTTATCCAGCTCTGTGCTCTTCTCAAATTCCATCAGCTGTTGGGTCAACTTGGAATCCAGGTCGATGCTGTCCCCCTGTGACGCTGTGGCTACCTCTGTGGTGGGCCCCTTGTCTGGTGGCCCAGGCCTCCTCTCTGGTCTCCCTGGTGCAGAGTAGAGGCTGGAGGCGTTTTCTGCAGATGTTTGGTGCCTCTGAGAATAGCTGGTCATAACCGGATGGCAAAAGTAGCTAGGTCTGGCTATCCTTGAGGCCGAGAGGGAGGAGGCCCTGTGAAGTGGGGGTGCTGGCTTCCCGAGGGACCTGCACTGGGCATATGTCCTCTTGGGAGGCAGGCTGGAGTAGTCTCTAGTCCAGGCTTCTAGAGGGACAAACTCAGCGGATGGGGCTGAGCTTTGGTGGCTCCCTCTTGCTGTTGAGGAACACTGACTTTTTTGCACTTTGGGGTGACCAGGTACCCAAGGCTGGGAAGAAATACCATTGACTATCTCTGAGGGGTCAGGTGTGGAAGAGTCTTTAACAAGAGGCCTTTCAGGATCCACACCTGGGGAGCTTCCAAAGGCTTCTTCACTTTGACCAGAGTCCTCGCTTACAGCACACTCAGGGACCCCACGATCTAGGGGGACCTGGGGTTGTTCAGACAGACTCCAGTCACACCTTTCTGCTTCACACGTCTCTGGTTCAAGTCTTGCTTCCTCCACCACTGAGTTCCCCAACCCGTCCACAGAACTTTCAGAGTTCTTAGGGAGACTGTCTTCCTGGGGCAGACCCACGGTTTCTTCTGTCCTGGGGCTAGGACATAACTTCACGAAGCGATGGGGAAAGATACCTGTCCTGCCCTTCAAACGTCCTTCCAGCCAGCCATCCTCCAAGGTCCCCAGAATTTGGATTTTATCCCCTACGTCAAAATCCAACTCATTCGGCTCCAGGGCTTGGAATCTGTAGAGGGCCAGTCCATAGGTCCCGGACGGGTGGTCAGCCTCGTCAGCCCCACTTTCTACTTCTCCTGTGGAGATGTCTACTTCGCCGTTAGCAACACAGTCATCTCCACTTCCAGAATTTACCGACTCATCCACAACCCTCAGGGGCCCCAAAAGCTCTACAAAGCCTTCTGGGAAAATGCCTCTCCGACCCTCCAATTCTCCTTCGAACCAGCCTGGCTCGGGAACTCCAATAATGGTGATCACATCTCCTTCCCTGAAGTCCAGTTCCTCATCCAACTGGGCAGACAGCCCCATGAGGGCCCGTGCTTGTCCCATGGAGTATTCTGGAATCTGAAGCGAGGCACTTTGTGAGTGCCACTGCCGGCTTTGGGAGGAGAGGCAGAGCTCACGAACGCAAGAAGACGGGAAGAAGCCCCGGGCCCCCCAGCAGCTTCGGCCCTGCAGCCATCCCGCAGTTGGGGTGCCATCAAGAATCACCAGGTCTCCTGAAGAAAGAAGCGAAAGTCAGAACCTGGCCAGAACCAGAGAATAACACTACGGCCTACAGCGCCGTTGCCTCTTTGCCGTTGTTGAGACAGGGCTGCCCTGCGTGGCTCCGGCTGTCACCACAGTTCTGCCTCAGTCTCCTCAGTGCTGGGCTTGCATGTCTATCCACCGAGAGTCTCTCCTCCTGCCACGTGGGGCCTGCAGACAGAGCTCAGGCTGTTGGCTTTGGCAGTAAGCACCTTCACTGCCGGGCCGTCTTGCTGGCCCTATAAGAAGATTTAAAAATCCCAGGGACCTGCTCTTCTGTTGTTGCAAGTAACCAGTATTTCAGGTAGCCGTCACAAAATATACACCCCAAAATTGTGTCTGTCCGAGGGTTTAGATTCACCACAGTTCTAAAAACACATTCCATAGTTCTATAATCAACTGCCTTATAACAAACACTTGATTATGTAACTATGGACATTCATTTTGTGGATTATTAATTTTCATCTTACTCTGAGCTTTCCCTCTGGTCAGTGCATGGGCCAACTCTCCTGAGCAGAGCTGCCTGAGGGAGGCAGACCCTGGCTGAGGGAGGCAGACCCTGGCTGAGGGAGGCAGACCCTGGCTGAGGGAGGCAGACCCTGGCTGAGGGAGGCAGACCCTGCCTGAGGGAGGCAGACCCTGCCTGAGGGAGGAAGACCCTGCCTGAGGGAGGAAGACCCTGCCTGAGGGAGGCAGACCCTGGCTGAGGGAGGCAGACCCTGGCTGAGGGAGGCAGACCCTGGCTGAGGGAGGCAGACCCTGCCTGAGGGAGGAAGACCCTGCTCGAGGGAGGCAGACCCTGGCAAACAGTCAGGAGGGGCAGCAGTACACGGTTCCCAGTCAAATGCACCGGGGAGGGGCTAGCTGTTATGTTCTTGACTTTTATGCGCTCCTGGGCAATTAAAGGAGATTGCTTTTATTTTATATGTATTGGTGTTTGCATCTGTGCACCAGGTGCATGCAGTGCCTGAGAAAGACAGGAGAGGGCACCTGATCCCTTGGAACTAGAATTATAGGTGGTTGGGAGTCACTACGTAGACGCTGAGAACAGAACCTGGCTCCTCTGCAAGAGAAGTCAGTACTTCCCTGCCCCACCCCAAGGGTTTCTCTTCATAGTTTTGGTGTCTATCCTGGAACTTACTCTGTAGACCAGGCTGGCCTCGAACTCACAGAGATCCTTCTGGCTCTGCCTCCCGAGTGCTGGCCACCACCGCCGGGCATCAGTCAGTACTCTTAACTTCTCAGCCATCTCTCAGCCTCATTCCTGATTTTTAAAAAGATTGTGTGCCCTACCTTCCCAAGTGTGTGTAAGTGAATTGGTGATGGGCACACTTCTGTTTTGTATCTTAAGAGTCTGAGATGTTGCCTTTTGTGTAGTGAACGCTAAGCAGCCATTTGTTAATAATGATTATTCTTTATTTAGCCATAGCTCCCAAATTCATCATAGTCTCCTGCATCTAAAATTGGCTCCCATTGCTAACTTCCTCGTTCCCTTTAATTTCTTCTTTCAAAACATTTCTCCCATGTATTAATTCTCTTTGCTAATACCCTAGCCTAGTTTAATTCCCCGTCTTTCCTTTTAAATTTTACCCAAACATTATTTCTTCCAGCCCATCGAATGATTGTAAATGTGCCAATTGTACAGCATCCTTTTGCTTAAACTTTAGTCACAAGGCATGACGGCCTACTGCTCACCACTTTCTCCTAATAACCTCTCTTTGTTTTCCGAGATACAGTCTCACTCCAGAGCACAGGCTGGCCTGAAACTTGTTCCAATCCTCCTGCCTCAGACTCCCACGTGCTGGGAACAATCCTGATCTTATTGAGTGAATTCAATAAAAACATATTTGTTCTGTACTCACTCTGGAGCGTCTCTTTACCTAGACAGCAGCAGGCTGTTCTGTTTCCGCCCTGTTTGAGCTGTGCTCGGGTTTATCCAGTCACCTCTCTGTTCTCCATCCATCCATCATGATCTCACCTATGATGTGAGACCCTGGGAAATCTCACACAAAAGGATTTTTGCTTTGTTTGCTTTTGAGACAGGGTCTCACGATGGATCCCAGGCTGGCTTCAAACTTGCAACCCTCCTGCCTCAGCTTTTGAAGTGCTTGGATTAAGAGCACATGCCACCACATCCTGCTGAACTCCGAATCTTTATTACTGCTACTCTCTCTCCATCTGAAACCTTAGCAGGCCTCCTTAAAATCTTAGGAGCTCACAGCTGCTTGGCCATCTGTGGCCTACCAAAACACCCCACTTATCCCTTCAGTCCTGGCATTTGTATGTCGGCACAGTGCACAGCATATAATATAACATTTTAGACTTAGTGGTAGACACCCTGTATATTTCCTGATTTCATTTTATTGTGCTTAGAGTTTTATTTGGAAATGCCTAAAAATGGTGTCTTGCTCCCATATTCCTGTAGTCCTTAATTTTGCACTGGCCAAAGCTTTGGGTCCTGAGAATTACAAGTTACCGCCCTCCCCCAGTGGCCCTGAGGCCTGCCATCCAGGCCTCCGTGGGAAGTCACTGGTGACATGACTGCTCAGACACAATGGGTCTCTTGGTGAATAGGAAAATCAAAGCATGTCCTAACTCCCACTCCGCTGGCTTTGAAATGCCTGGCTCACTTCAAGCTGCAGAATGACAGTGCGCTCTGTCTGGCCAGATCTCCATGAACTTGGACAATGGGGCTTGTTTTCCTGTCTATTCCAACAGTGGTTTTGATGAGCTTTGTTTCCGGGCAGACTGTAGCTCTGCTGGTTATCCACAGTTATAAAGGAGGGTTCTCAAAACAAAACAAGATGACGCCCCTCTCCCATCAACACACACAATTTAGATGGCACTTTACTTTAGTTCAACATCCCCACCTTATGTTTTTGATTTTGTCCTTTGTTTTTTCCCCTCACTTGGTGATTACCTTTATTTTAAGGCCTAACTTCCCTGGGGTGGGTTTGTGGTGGTGGTGGTGGTTTCTCTGGTTTCTGTTTTCAAAAATCTCTTGTTTTAATTAGTCAGGCAAGCTATTTCCCTGGAGTCTGGGTAATTCTTTAGGAATGGAGGATACCCAGTCATTCTAGACTTCAAAAACACCAATATAAAGAATTCCTGGAATGGTGGGACCAGGTTTGGGAACAGGAAAGTAGAAACTGCAGTGACCCTTGGGGTCGAATGTGACTGCTCCCAACCATCCTGCTTGTTTCTTTGGTTGGAATTTTTCTCTGAACAGGAAGTGGACTGGAAGTGAGATTACAGGAAGGAATGTAGGTCTGGTTAGACTCTGATACACGCTGCCTGACTCCACAGGCCCAGCTCCTTCCTTACCTCCACTCATGGTGCTAACTGCCCAGGGGACTGTGTGCCTTGTGCAGACCACATATTTCCTTTAATTTATAATTAGAGTTTATCCTAACACTTCATCTCACGGCATTAAAATCTAAGATGCTCGTACTTCAACTGATAAAGATCAGTCAAAAACCTATTTATAAATTATCATTTTGAGAGGAGGTTGCCTAGAAATGCGAGGTGTAGACAGACAGCCATAAGCATTCTGTGTTGTGTGAGGAAATGACCTCCTGATCTTCTTGTCTTTCCCTTGACACATTCTTTTCCTTTTCTTCCTTCCTCTCTTTTCCTTTTTTTCCCCTTCACTTTTCGTGTTCTATTCTTTATTTTTTGGACAGCTGGTGACTCTAGCCACTCACTCATACTGACTCTTCCAGAAGACAGTTTTGTTTCTGAAGCAAAACACAAAGCACAGTCCAAAATAACTGAGTGGCTTCAGGAAGTGGGGAGGGTGACACCTGCTGGCAGAATCAGTGATGACTCCAGGTAGACTGGGGAAACATCCCATACACAGCAACTTCACAGAAGGAAGGCAGGCCTCAGGAGCCACAGAGCATGTCCCTCTGCCTAGTTTACAACCTCATTGGTCCTAACAGCTACCCTGAGGTAGGTGTTGTCATCTCCAGCCTGTACATAAGGCTAGCAATGTGCTAGCCCAACATCACAGCTACTATGTGGCAAAGATGGATTTAAATCTAGGACCATTAGAATTCCTATCCTCTAAGCCATATTGCCTAATTTTAACATACTAGTCATAACACAAATTACTCATACATACACACACATACAATTTTTCTCTTTGGATGACTTTATGTGTTTTTCTTTGTATGGGTGTATTGTTTGCATGGATGTGTGTGCAATCCTGAAGAAGCCAGAAGTCAGAACTTCTAGAACTGGAGTTACAGATGGTTGTGAGCCTCTACATGGGTGCTGAGAATTGAACCTGGGTCCCCTGGAAAAGCAGAGTGCTCCTGACCACTGAGCCATCTCTCCAGCTGCTCTTATTAATCTTAATGCTACTTCTTAAGTGTAATTTAATAACAACTAAACAGGCAGGGTGGCAAGGCACAAAAGGGCTCTCATGTAGCCGAGGCTGGCAGTGTGGCAGAAGAGGACTAAATTCCAGGCTATTCTGCCTCTACATCCTGAATGCTGGGATTACTGGCATGTACAACTACAGAGGTGGATGCATCGTAAGACTGGACCCAAGGCTTTGGGCATACTAGCCAAGTACTCTATCAACTGGACTATACTCTTAGCACCCCAATACTCCTGGAAGTCTCCGGTCTCCTTCTGGTTTGTTTATTCACCACTCAAGTTTTGTGTGCACAGAAGAGAAGCCACCCCACTGCTGTGCTGGCTACTCTTACATCAACTTGTCACAAGCTAGAGTCACCCAAAGGAGGGAACGTCAGTGGGGAAAACGCCTCCATGAGATCCTGCTGTAAACCACACAGCGGTGGTGCGAGCCTTTAATCCCAGCACTCAGAGGCAGAGGCAGGAGCATCTCTCTGAGTTCAAAGCCAACCTGATCTACAGAGTGAGTTCCAGGACAGCCAGGGCTACACAAAGAAACCCTGTCTCAAAACAAACAAACAAACAAACAAACAAACAAACAAACAAACAAACAA